CAAGGCGCATGGAACGCTGTTACCTTCCCTGGAGGAAAGCGATGGCGAACCTAAACAGCATGATAAAAAGTAGAGACATAACCCTGCCAACAAAAGTCTGCATGGTCAAAGCAATGGTATTCCCAGTAGTCATGTATGGCTGCGAGAGTTGGACTATAAGGAAGGCCGAGCGCCGAAGAATAGATTCTTTTGAACTATGGTGCTGGAGAAGACTCTTGAGAGTCCCTTGGACTGCAAGAAGATCAAATCAGTCAATCCTAAAAGAAATCAACCCTGACTGTTCCCTGGAAGGCCAGATAATGAAACTGAAGCTCAAATACTTTGGCCACCAAATGAGAAGGGAGCACTCACTGGAGAAGACCCTGATGCTGGGAAAGATTGAAGGTCAAAGAAGACGGGGACGGCAAAGGATGAGATGATTAGACAGTGTCATAAATGCAACGAACATAAAATTGAGCAAACTTCAGAGGACGGTGGAAGACAGGAGGGCCTGGCGGGATCTGGTCCATGGGGTCACGAAGAGTCGGACTCGACTGTGTGACTGAACAACAACAATCTATGATCTCCATTCAAAGGGGATCCCCTCCTCCCTTTTTCACCAGGAGAAAAATCTTCTAGATGATTCCATGGTCTGATCCAGTGCAAAGTAACTTCATATATATGATGCTTGCTTGGGATCAGCGTCTTTTGGTGTTGATGTATTTTTCCAGTTTGACATGTCTTCCTTAGGAAATACAAAAAATAAGCAATGAACCCTCAGTTTAGATCACAGATTGCAAGCAGTTTCTGTGAATAGTCGGAAAACGTTGTTCCTTATCAAATGCTCAAAAATGGTCTGTGTTGTAATTGCAAGATATTTCACACAAGTGTTCTCGCACTGCTTTTCCTAAAAATGTCCTACATCCTGAAATATATATTATCAATGATTTGCAAAAGAAGTGTTTCAGTCCTGCTGCAGTGAGGGATGAGACTGCATGGTTTTTCTCTCAATTCTAGACTTGCCCATCTGGACTTCTTTTTGTGTGTGTTATTCATGTGTACACTGAGATCCAGTTTTTAAATTCTTTGCACATGCAAATTCTACCACTGCTTTGCCCCAATCGCCCCCTTTCTTCATCCATCCATCCAACACACCTGACAAGAATACTAACTTACAACCAGGGCCGGCTCACTCACTAGGCGAACTAGGCGATTGCCTAGAGCGGGCTGGCACTTAGGGGCACCAAACTGCACCCGGCCCCGTACTCTGGGAGTTTCTTGATTATTTGTGTTTTTCATTCTTCCTAAAATGCATTTATCTTTGAAAATTGGTGGACGCATGGGGAGGGGGGCGCCAGAAGGGATCCCCGCCTAGGGTGCAAAATAAGCTGGGGCCGGCCCTGCTTACAACCTTTTCCTGAGTGCTTTCCTTGGTTATCTCTGTGCTGTTGGGGTAAGGCCAATTTCTCTAATATTCCAGGCATGTGTACTTGGCCTGAGTGTGTCTTGAGCGTTCAAAATTAGATCATACTTTGCCCATTCTTGCCCTGCTTCCTGGGAACTTCCATTTGATCAAGTAACTTCTGAGCATGGGCCAACATGGTGAATGCTGCACATTGTGCAGGAGCAAAAGCAACTTTTTTGCCATCAGTCTGCAGCTGACTTACGGCGATCCAGTAGGGTTTTCAAGGCAAGAGATGTTCAGAGGTGCTTTGCCACGGCCTGGCTCTGGGTCATGATCCTAGATCACCAACGACTAACTCGGGCCAACCCAGCTGAGCTTCCGGGATCAGGTTAGCCCGGCCATCCAGGTCAGGGCTGTTCCAACAGGCTTGGTTTCAAATGATACATCATGGCTTGCTGGTGACAACTCCAGAGTTTATACAATCCAAGCAAGCCAATAAATTGGCATTTAACTATGGTTGCCCAGGCACTTGCCAATCTGAACAATTTCAGATGCAAAACTGCTTGCAGCACCATTTGTTTTGAATTGTGAACAAATCACCCACGTGAGCCAGCTGGGTGGTCAACCCCAGAGAAAACTGGCATCATCATGAGCTAAGTAAATTTGATTTTCCAAATGCCTGTTGGTGCACATCACATCCTCTCTAGAGGAAACATGGACAGCTTTACAGATTTTGTTTATAGAGCGCAACCGGGCTTTGCTCAAATCAATAGGAAGGTCAACCAGTGGGATTCGGTGGGATGCGAGCTGCATCCTTAACGAGGAACAACAGCCTCTCTAACCAATTCCCCTTGCGGCGATCATTTTCCTTTGAAACCAGTGCAGAAACTCAAAAACAGCGCCGGGTAGCTGACTGTAATACTTCTTGGAGAACAGACCAAAGGGTATCCTGGAAATTTAGTCATTCCAGTTAGCAAGCACCTTGAACTGTACTCTGTTTCCTTGAAAAACTTCTGTTTTATAGAAATCTATTGTTTCTAGGACAGAGTAGGCCCATAGAAATTGGCTTGAACACCCACAAACACTGGTCGTTTTTAGGATCACCTCCTGTGTGATTCAATTCCCCCTCCCCTTCAAGCAGCACACACCCTCGTTCAGCACCATACCAAACTTGTTTTTAAAGGCCTTTAAGCCTTAAATGGCATTGGCCACATGGGTGTGCCAGAAACACTAATCAGAAACTGCTCTCAGTATGCAGAACCAATCTCTTAATCCTTTACACCCTGTTTCAGGGATCCTGGTAAAGTTTTCACCAATTCTCCCCTTCCACTGCAGACCTCTAACTCCACCCAGTGCTGTTCCGGGGGATAGGTCTCTTCATCCTGTTAAGAGCAGCTCCAGATAAGATAGCTAAATGTTACCCAACAATATTTATTTATTTATTATTCAGATTTGTACCCCGCCCTCCCCCGTAGGGCTCAGGGCGGCTGTGTTGGAAACGTAAAAGAAATGTGGGTACGTTATATGGTATGTGGTGGTGTTATGCATAAACAGCCGCATACTGGAAAATGACACAAAAGATAATCTCAGATATTATGAATGTAAATTTGGTTCTAACTCCTGAAATAGCTTTATTGAATATGATACCGGAGAATTATAAACAAAATGAAAAATATCTATTAACATATATATTAACAACTGCAAGGATACTGTTGGGCAGATATTGGAAACAAGATAAACTCCCCACAAGAGAAGAAATACTGGGTAAATTGATGGAAGTAGCAGAAATGGAGAAATTAAGTTTGATTCTTCAAGGGAAAGATGAACATTTATTGAAAGATGGAGAAGCTTGTATAACTGGATTAACAAAATATGGAAAATTTAGACTCAAATGTATAGAAGGATGATTATTTGTAAATGATAATTGGAAAATCAATAAAATTTACCCCCCCCCCAAAAAAAAGAGCCTCTCTAGGGGACAGGTAAGAGGAAACATACCTTTTTTTTTTTGGTCAAGTGACATCTGATTTATGGAGACTCCTGATGGGGTTTTCAAGGCAAGAGACATTCAGAGGTGGTTTGCCATAGCCTTTCTCTGTGACCCTGAATTTCCTTGGTGGTCTTCCATCCAAATACTGACCCAAGAGGACTCTGCTTAACTTCCAAGATCTCACATGAATGGGCTAGCCTTGCCTGGCCGAGACAGAACAGGGCTACCCAGAGTCACATACTATGGAACAAAACTTTTCCTGTCTGCAGAAAATGCCAGTGGACCCAAACCATTAGCCATGGAGAAACCGAAACGTGCAATTCTGGTCACCACACCCCAGAAAGGATATTATAGCATTGGAAAAACTGCAGAAAAGGGCAACTAGAATGATAAAAGGGTTGGAACACTTCCATATAAGGAAAGGTTAAGGTTGTTGGGGCTCTTAGGTTGGAGAAACGATGACAGAGGTGACATGACCGAGGTTTACAAGGTTATGCATGGGATAGAGCAGATAGAGAAAGGAGTACTTTTCTCCCTTTCTCATAATACAAGAACTCATGGGCACTCAATGAAATTGCTCAGCAGTTGGGTTAGAATGGATAAAAGGCAGTACTTCTTCACCCAAAGAGTGATTAACACATGGAATTCACTGCCACAGGAAGTGGCGGTGGCTACAAGCATAGATGTCTTCAAGAGGGAATTGGATAAACATATGAACAGAGGTCCATCAGTGGCTATTAGCCACAAGGTATAGATAGGAACTCTCGGTTTGGGGCAAGTGATGCTCTGTATTCTTGGTGCTTGGGCGGGGCAACAGTGGGAGGGCTTCTAATGTCCTGGTCCCACTGGTGGACTTCCTTGATGGTACCTGGTATTTTTGGCCACTATGAGACAGAGTGTTGGACTAGATGGGCACATTGGCCTGATCCAACATTGGCTTCTCTTATGTTCTTCATCAAAGTACAGATGCCTGCAATGCAGAGTTCACAACCTCTTGCTTGTCCCATCTTCTTTGTATGCTTTCCAAAAAAAGTGCCCTCCAAAGGACCCCATTGTATATCAGTGTGGTTATAGAAACTTGAAGTAACAGTCCAAGATCTGAGAATTTAAAATATTCCTTTATTTACAGACTTCAGTAAAAACCATTGATTTCTAAGATCAACACTAGTAAGTTATTAAGATTGCACCAAGGCAAGCCATGAACCAATAACACTGCATGAGTCCAAGCAGTATCAGTGCAAATCCAAAAAGACAGACATTTATACATACACAAGGTGGTATTTCAACACCAGAAGCTTAAAAGCAAAAAGTGCAACACCAGTTCATGATGGTCCTGTACCAATTGTTCAGAGGCTCAATAGCTTGGAGCAGGGCAGCATGAGTGTTTGAATCAGAATCAGCTATGTAAGTGAGCTACTCGCAACTGAAAGTTGGGTGCATGCATCAACCACTATGTGACCTCCCTTTTTACATTTGTCCCCTACATTCTATGAGAAGAAACCAAACACTTGCAGCGCAGGGCAACAGATCTGAAATATGTCCAGATCACTTTCTCCTTGACATCAGCTGCTACAGATGGGTAGGAACCAGAATGGTCCCCAGTAGACAGCTTAGGAGTCTCACTTGTTTTTTTTGTACAAGGCAGGATAACATGAGTAGCCCAAATGCATAAAACAAGCCATGCCTGCCACTGAAATCTCTTCTCTATTAGTCCCATCTTTGCACCATTCCATTTAGCATCTGGTCCCCCAACAGTACTTCCCTAAACAGAGGAAGCACAACTTGTTAACAGGTTTCTCCTCTGGGAAACGGAAAACATGCACACACTCAATCACACTACTCGCTCATGGTTAAAGATGGACTAGGCAAGGCTTACAAGCAGAATGCAAGATCTAAAGGATTCCAGAACCAAGAAAAGATCTCTCAGCACAACGCAATAGACACGAGCTACCTTTTTAAATTAGCTTTAGAAATTGGAGAGCTTCCTCCTTCCAAAGTGTGAATGTTTACAGGCCAGGAATCACCAGAGGATCAAAGCCCAGGCAAGAGAGGCCAGCTGAAGAACAGGACTCCACACCCCTAGTGCACTTGAAAAGAAATCTTTCAGAGGGTGTTCAGAGGGTGTTATCAAGGAACCTTCCTGCTGTAGCCTAGAACTGAGAGAACATGAAAGAAAATGGGGACAAGCTTGGCATGAAGAGCCTCACGCGAAGACCTTTCTCCATAGATGACAAAGGTTAGCTCAGCTGCGCTGGTGCCATATCCGATGTGCAGATAGATGGGTGGAGAGGGGAGAAGAGCCCGTAGTAGGTCAGATACTCAGCTAACACTCTCTGTCCCTCTGCCCTTTGGTTGTGAAGTTTTTCATTAGTGTTTTTTAGCTGAGGTTAGAGGTAATGGGACAGAGCCAATTAAATCAGCCATTGAAAACAGAACCAAGTTACAAACACACTTAGATCCTTGGTGAAAACTGTGTGAGCTCACCACTGCAGGGACACAAAAATATTTCCAAACCATCTACAGGGCTGAGGGTCTGTGGTGTGGGTCTGTGGTATTCATAAGATTATTTCAGCACTGATTACACTAAAAACCACCACCATGAAAAAAAACAGTATTATAAAAAAATGTTTCTTAAACAGACAGCAGGGGGAAGCAACAAGGAAAAAGGAAACCCTTCAGTAGGATAACACCTTTGTTTTCAACACTGGACTTGAGGTAGTTGGGGTTTCCCCATCCAAGAATAACCAATATTTCTGCAACAAAATTAAATATAAGAGGCTGGATCCTATGATTTCTAAGTCTTCTTCCAAAGGAGAAAAATCTTCATGGAAAGAAAACCTGGTCAAAGAGGATCCAACCCAAAGTAAACAAACATTTCGCACGCAGAGCCACATTTACACTTAGGCACATTTTACAAAAAAGAGCACAAACCACCACAATGTTTCCAGTCGTTAAGGTACATGCAGTTGAGCTGTAGTGCAATTGCTGGATAGTTTCGAGACACTTTGGGTGAGCTGGTCTTCTCTAAACCACTGCCTTAGGAAGACACCTCATCAGCATGTCACACTCTTACCTAGTTCACAGGAAAACAGTGTCAAGTCTGACCGGATCAGCATGCCTAGAAAAGCAACCAGCATAAAGAGAAGTGACGCTAGCTTTCAACCTGCACAACTAAGTAGCATCTCCTTCCAAGGATGTGCTTCTCCCTTCCCTGTTGTTCTTGGTGCTACCCAAAAGCTGCTACCAGCATCTTCCCATAACTTCAGCATTTGCAAAATAATCAGTTTCCCCATATTAGAGCAAAAACACTGTCAGCAGTTTAAACTTAGGGTTCACTTCCCCCAGGCCTTCTTGAAGCTTAGCAAGCCAGTAGACACCTTAAGCTCTCTACATTCCTTGTCAGTTTTGTTTTTTTTAAAGCCACCCGAAACCAATGGTAAAGGCTACAGATAGCATTGAGGTCAACAGTCAGCAACAGGCAGATGCCCAGCTGGCTTTACAGGCTGGCCAAGCTAATGCTAACCAATTAAGGAATGTTTCAAGTATATCAGTAAGCTGTGTTCCTTGTTCCACCGAGTAACCACCTAGCTGCACTGAGATTTTTGCCAGCCCATAGGGATTTATGGCTGCCCTGCTAAAAGGGCAAGCCATATTCTAAAAAATATTGAGGTATCAAGCTGGATGTTTCCCAAGGGCTGTAGGCTCAAATATCTAAAAGGTTGTGTGTGTTTTTAAAGAGATGTTCCTAGCATTCTTCAGCAATGTTCCTAGCATTCTTCAACAACAGTCCCAATCAGGGAGTACAATTTTTTCTTAATTAACCGAAATCCAGGACTCAGGATCAGTGTGCGTTTGCTGCCACCTGTAAAGCAAGCTTTTTGGAAGAAATCCCTGAAACTAGGCCAGGAACCGCTGTCCTGCTTGAACACTAGCGTCAGTTCGAAAGTAGGAACAACAGTAGGGTCATAGACAATCTTATCCAGCTTTTTACATATATTCCCAGTTTCCAAGTTGACGTGGATCACGCAGCCTCGTAAGCCGCAGGGCTCAGTAGAAGAGAGACGCAAGATGTCCTGTGCTATCCTCCTGGTGAGTTTCTCAGGGACTAGGACCTTGGAGCAGTGCAGTTTGGTCTGCTTCGATCTCGAAAGGCAGCTCTCCAGCATTCTAACTAGACTCTGATATGTCTGTTCCTCAAACACCGTCTCATTAAAGTTGGGTTCTGGCACAACATAATCCCAGTAGTCAAAGTCTGCAAGGAACAAGGAGAAGAAAACAATTCTCAGTGGCAAGCAGCCAAGCATTACGTTTGTGCAGCATCAAATAACTAAGTTACCAAACTCCTACTTCAGCAATATATTCAGAGCTTCTCATTACGTTAATGCAGACTTACAGCTAGGTGTATTGTATCTGTTGCCAGAAAGCAGCCTACAGTCTTTGAATTTGTATACACAAGATATAACTTAGTAAATTCTTCTTCCTTTCACATCAACTGGCTACACGAGACATTTTAATGAAACAGAGGAGTGTTATTGGGGGCCACTAAGCAGCATTTGGGCTTTGCAAAAACAGGAACAGAAGACGTCAGCAAAATAACTCAGAGAGGACATAGACTTCTAAGAAGCAAGTGACCCTACCATGTGCCTGAAGACCAAGTTTTGGCAGGTTGTCAAAAAAAAAAGTCAGCGCCAGCTTGCTTGCTTCTTCCCTCACACACACGTTTAGTTCACTAAGTGAAGGAACTCTTTGATATACAGTAAGAAATGTAATGGGGAAACTGGATCCATTCATAACTTTTTATACACTCAGCAAAATTAGGACCACCACCGATCAAAGTTGTAACATGTTATTCTACCTAGTTCTTCATAGGCCCGATTACTGTTAAAGTTAGTTTCCTCAATAATAAGTCAACCTTCACAACACTAAAGTTCCAAATCAATACCCCAATTACCGCCTTTATTAACAGTTAAGGTTGCAACTTTAATTGACAACGTAAACCAGTGGTGACCATCTTTAGCTGGCAAGTGAGAACTGTCAGCGAGGCAGGCATTTATTTTTGTAGTCTACTTTGCTTCTGGTATGTTAACAGGGAACAAAGACAATAAATAGTGATGGCTCTTCCTTCCAAACAGGGGTTGGTAATTTAATTCACTAAATGATATTTCTTTCAAAAAGCTCAAAAAGGCTTCTCTCTCCCATAACAGGAAGCAAGCTAATTGCATCAATTTAAATGCAGATATCACCTAGAGAGATGACAACTCAGCTAAAGAGAGAGACAACTTTTTAAAGCTCTTCTTGAAGCTATGAGAATGAAACATTCACATTAGAAAAGGCCCCTTTCACACAGCCTCACTTTCAGTGAACAAGTCGCACTACCCATTAAACTTGCCAACAGTACAAGCCAAAGAACACTTTCCTGGGAGTAAGCACCACTGAACAGACCTAAGTAGGATTCTGAGTAGACCTGCTTAGAACAGCACCCCAAGGCACTCACCAGTTGCATGCTGGAACCTTTGCTGTATCAGTTCAGAAATACAGACAGAGTTCTTATTGTTTAAGGTACTAGTGGCAACCATCTTGACAACCAGTGGTCTCACCCCAACCAGCCAGCACACCTTTCCTGGTTTACTGCAGAAGAGAAAAACACAATTCATTGCCAGGCCGTTACAAGTAAATACTAGAAAAACACATCACCCAAGAGTTACAACATGAACAGAGGGGGGCACAGAGAAGAAACAGAAGAGTTACAGCACATTCTAGGTCAGTTTCAAGGGATTACCTAAAAGCCTAAAGGGGTTTTACTAAGAGAAAACATAGGCAGCGCCTTCCTCTTCAAAAGAGTAACAATACAACTCTGTGCATACTAACTGCAAGCAGGACTCTACTGTAAAAACTTCAGCTTAAAACCAAGTATAGCTGACAAAGGGATTAAACACAAACAAAAAGCAATATTAGTTGAATTTCCAGCAACACAGTTTACCTGTTAATATTCCCAAATTAAATGCATAAACTTGGAGCTGAATTAAGGTTTATGCACCTTCAGCTTTATTAAGTAATGAACTTTAGACGGCACAAACCCCTTCCTCCCCCGCCTTAGATACATATAAAAGTAACCACCTTCTTCTCCCAAAACTCCCACCCTCGGTTTGCCTGCAGCGTCAGCTCTCTTATATACACCCCACGTCCCATTCTTGCCCCTCCTCCCGCAGCAGGCTTGGGCTGTGAAGGATCGCCTCCCTTCCCATTGGCTACTTGGCGAAGGTGGATTTTGGAGAGAGGCGCAAACATTCTAACCCGGGACATCGGTGTGAAAGAAGAGACGGCCAAGAAGCACCACCGGGGTGGGGGGAATTGCAGGGCGGACAGACTGTTTTGATTGGTCAGTGTGAAGCGTATAAAAAAAACACCTCGGGAAGAACGACAACACGGGTCACCTGACTCGTGTCACTCCTCTCAGTGGCCCTCTCGGCCAAGAGGCGCCTCCACACGGCGCACAGTCAGCATTCGCTCGCTGCATTGTATTTGTGTTCCCGCTTTCCTGGAAGCGGCCAGCAGCCTACTCCACTCCCCCCGCGAGGGCGCTGAGTTCGCTCCCTACGCCAGGAGACTGTTCGCCAGGAGCAATGGAATGCAGATGCGGGTTATTGTACCAACAGCGAGGGGAGCCGCGCTAGTCCCTTCCTCCAAAACGAAAAGGAAGATTTTTTTTTTTGTTAGGATCAGCCGTCTTGTGCAGAAGAGAGCAGTGCCCCCCTCCCCGTTCTACAATATTCTTAGTCAGGGAAGTTCAGGATAAATAAGGATGGGTGTATGTGTTAAAAACAGGATTGCCAACCTCCAGCTGCAGCCTGGAGATATCTGAGTAGTACGCCTACTAGTCTCTATATCATAAAGGTCGTTCCCGTGAAGAAACTGGCTGCTTTGGAGGGTGGTCTCTAAACCTCACTGAACTGTTTGCCTTTCTCCTGCTCCACCTCTTAAGCCTCTAGGAATTTCCCAACTCAGGGAAAGCCCTCTTTAGAAAGGGAAAGGATCCTTCAAGGCATGATGAACCTAAAACCGGGTTTGGGTAAAAGTCGGATCTAAATGGATCCTCATGAATTCATATGATTTTTACACTGAAACGAAATAAAAGCACCATCCTATTGTAGGCCATGTGTTAGTCTACAAGGGGCACCACCAAAATCACGCACCCACAGATTCGTGGCACCACAGCAGCGCAAAAGGACGGATCCTCATGAATTCATATGATTTCTATGCTGGAATGAAATAAAACCAACATCATAGTGTAGACCATGTCTTAGACTATATTAAAAAAAAATGTCTTAGACTATAGGAAGCACTTCAAAAATCATGCCCCCACGAATTCGTGGCACCACAAAACTGCAAAAACATGGTTCTGGAGCATGGATCCTCATGGATCCTCAGGGTTTTTCAACTGGGTCACCCCAAACACACCATCAAATCACATAACACATCCACGTCCACAGCTTGCACCATAAAAATCACATTCACGGCTTCATAGTGACAGCATTCTGCAAAAACATGATTCTGAAGCACGGATCCCCATGGATGCTTGGGTTTTTTGTATCGGAACACCCCAAACATACAATTAAATCCCATATCATGCCCATGGCCACAGACTACACCACAGAAATCACAGTGCCACAGGTCCGTGGCAACAACATGCTGCAAAAACATGGTTCCGAAGCATGGATCCTCAGGTATCCTTATGATTTTTGCATTGGGTCACCAAAACATCACCATCAAATCACAAATCTTGTCCATGGTGATAGAATGCACCACAGAAATCATGTCTTCATGGCTTAGTGGTGACACCATACTGCAAAAACATGGTTCTGGAGCATGGATCCTCATGGAAACCTTAAAATACCATTAAAACCTATACCATGTCCATGTCCTCTACTTACACCCAGGGTTATTTTGGGGCAGGAACGCACAGGAACGGAGTTCCGGCTGGCTCCTGAGTTGGCCACACCCAGCAGGAACTCATTAGCATAATAGGCCACACCTAACCAGTGAGAGCCAGTTTGGTGTAGTGGTTACGTGTGCGGACTCTAATCTGGGAGAACCGGGTTTGATTCCCCACTCCTCCACTTGCACCTGCT